TAATGACAAACGCAATAACCCTACGATCACAACAACTAATAATGAGACAAAACGCTACTACAGTGTAACATACGTACCTAGACTCAGCGAAAAAATTGATCGCAAGAAATACACTAACAACCAAAATACAATACTAGCATACCGATCAAATCACACGTTGTCTTCAGTATTTACCAAAACAAAAACTCCAATAGAGCCGCACCAACAAAATAACGTAGTGTACGAAATAACATGCGAAGGAAGTGAAAACGAAAAGTGTAATAAAATTTACATTGGAACGACAAAAAGGCCGCTTGCAGTTCGCTTATCGGAGCATGAAGCGGACATCAAGAAGAACAAGAGCAACACGGCACTATCACAACACATATCAGCAAGCGGACACACAGCTGATCTAACTAAAACGAAAATAATAGACAAAGAAAAGAGGGAGAGAACAAGATTCACGTTGGAAAGCTTACGGAAATTACAGAAGAGGGACAAGACAATGAACAAAAAGGAAGACACGGATGACATCGCGACTGCTTATTTATTATGTTTATAGCTAAAATCAACAGTATGACAAGTGTACCACACGATGTTGGTATCGATGCGGACCAATTAGTTTAAGTTTTTACAACGCTTTTATCAACTTGCATTGTTGTGCGTCCAGAAACTTTCAATGTTGTGGATCCAGAAACTTTCAATGTTGTGTGTCCGACACCAAAGCAAAGCTTTGAAAAGTTCCTATAAAAAAGCATAGTGCATAGGGCGACAGCTGTAGTGAATAGGGCGAGGTAGATGACATCTAGATGTCGCCCTATGTACTACGTTTGCTACAGCGGAAATAGACGACACGCCATTTCTTTAAATAAAATTAATTGGTGCTCGTTTGTATGTACATACATATGTAAATGCATGTGTGTGCACCTTTCTATTAATATCGTTGAATTATTTTAATATCTATTACAAACTTTTATTCAGACAGGACTAAAAGTAGAAAATAAATAATATAAAAAAAACTTTTTAATATACAACGCTTTTATAAATGGACTAAAAGTATAAAATAAAATTTCTCAGTCCCATAGAATTTGTTTTGATAACTTTTGATTTTGAAATTTTAGCAAAAGTCATTATAAACAATCTATGAAATTGAAAATGAAAAACGTGGAGCAGTCCCATAGAATTTGTTTTGATAACTTTTGATTTTGAAATTTTAGCAAAAGCCATTATAAACAATCTATGAAATTGAAAATGAAAAGCGTGGGGCGCATGTAATACACTTGAATTGATATGAAAAGTAATATATGTATGTATGTATGTGGGTATATGAATAACGACCGCTTAAAATCGATTTCAAAGTTCTACTTTCGCTGTAGAAATTTTAGGTCTGCGTTATGTAGTTTGACTATTGTCAATTAAATCGAATGCTTTGTATTGCATGCGCTCCACGTTTTTCATTTTCAATTTCATAGATTGTTTATAATGACTTTTGCTAAAATTTCAAAATCAAAAGTTATCAAAACAAATTCTATGGGACTGAGAAATATTATTTTCTACTTTTTAGTCCATTTATAAAAGCGTTGTATATTAAAAAGTTTTTTTATATTATTTATTGTGTTATTTATTTGTTTATATATGTACGTGAATTTTGAAACTCGTGTTCATATGTAAGTGCAAAATTTTAAAAATCCTTTAAAAAACTGTGATTGTTTTTTATTATTGTTTGTAGAACTGTTCACACATTTTTTATGTCATTACTAATTTTAAATTATATGTCTATTTATATGTATGTTGATGTGAAAATAAAACACCCCTGAAGATGCTAAGGATTTTAGCGAAACGTCGGGTAAAAACGTGAAGAACAGTGTTTTCTTGCACATAAGAGGGATCAATAAGCCTATGAAATACCTAAAATAAATCGCTTTGATTTTTGATAATTTTTTTCTGACGGTGTCACGCATTTTCTTCCATTCAAAGTATGTTTGGCAATTTTTTTTTATGGAAGCAATTAGTAACACCATCCGCCAAAAAAAAAATTATCAACAATCACCGCAAATTTTTATCCACTTCAAACTTGCAATTTCTTAAGCTAGAATTATAATTAAAGTTAAAGTTGATTACTTATTGTAAATTCTGGGTAAAGTCATTTGAAATAGTTCTTGCCTAAATGAATGCATGTTAATTAACTAATTCAAAGAATCTTTACTCTTTGTCACCAAATAAATACTATATTTAACTATACAAATATGGGTATAACTTATATTTCCAAAAAATGTCATTTAGACCCTTATGTTTCTAGCCCATTCATATGTAAAAGTAGGAAACAAAGAAAGTTTGAAAAACCATTTAAAGCTCCATTCCAGATTATTGATCAAAAAGGGCCAAATAGTACATTATTGATGGATATAAAAAAGTAGAATTACATAATAATAATTTAGGCAAATGTAGACACAGCAGGTAAATGTTGTTAAAACATATGTGTGAAGTGCACACCCGGTAGAAGTGAAACCTTCATAAAATTAAACTACGAGAGAATGAGATGAATGCGTTTGTTTGTTGTAATATTGGTACGAAGTGGATAAGTTCTTATAATTTTTCGTTTTAAATTTTTTAATGTTATAATTTTTCATTTTATCATTATTTAGACCCATGTTCAAATTTCTACGAACGGGACGAGTTGCTTATGGTAACTTAAATGTGAAATATATACTTAAGTTAAGATATATCTTTGAAATGCAGTATCAATGATTGGTTTTGATCGTCTTGTCTATTCGGTGCGAGTGCTGGATATTTTTAAATTTAGTTTGATGCTGAGGAATTCAATTCTATGCGCCGACATATTTACGCACGTAGAATCTACGTCGGCACAAAAACACACATACGCGTATTGGCTAGCTCAACATATTCCACGTTTATACGCACAGAATAATCGACTTAATTGAAAGCGCATTGACACCGTACACATTTCGCTCTAGTGTTTATACTTACGGCTTTATATCGGCATCAAAGTAACCGTCTTCAAAAGCAAACAAAATTAGCTGTTTTCATTTGACATTTTATAAGTTAACATAGTGGAAAGTGATAAAAATCTAGTTTTATTCGGCATTAAAAAATCGTGGCAAAGAAAAAGAACGATTATTATTAATCAGCTTTTAAATACTGATGTGATTATTTGGAATTTGAGCGGAACAGCTGATCTCCAAATCGCTTTGAGTGAGAGCGGTGTTTATACACTCTTTCTAACTATCTGGAGAAATATCCTACCGATTTGAAATGGAGTGTGAGCCAAAACACTTCGCTGTTTCAAAGCGAATTGAAATTCAGTTTATACATATGTTTTGAATCGCGGCGAAATGAATTAAAGCGACTTATGCATGCGTATAAACGTAGTAATACGTACATAAATATGTACATACATATGTACGTACGGCTGCAAGTGGAACCGCCGGCAAAGCTTCAATTTGACTTTGATACTTCGTTTGAATGAAACTCCAAACTAGTCAGAAATAAATAATATAAAAAAAACTTTTTAATATACAACGCTTTTATAA